GCTACATCCCCGGTCCTTGGTTTTTAAAAAAATTTTACTTCTATTTATTTATGAGACATGGCTGCTCTATGTAGTTCAGGTTGGCCTTAAACTCATTATGTAGCCTAGGCTGGCCTCTAACTTCATGGTGATCCTCCTGCCTTAGCGACCCAAGTGCTGGGATAACAGGCATGCACCATCACACCTGGCCCTTGTTTATTTATTTATTTATTTTATTTTTTGTGGTACTGGGGATTGAACTCAGGACCTTGCACACCTTATTTTTTGAGATACAGGTTCAATAATTTTCACAGGTAGGACTTGAACTTGTGAAATTCTTGCCTCAGTCTCCCTAAATGGCAAGATTATAGGCATGTGCTACCATGCCCAGTTTATCTGTGATCTTTTGTATTGGCTTTTTTCTTTTCTATTTTGAGATAGGGTCTCACTATGTAGTCCAGGCTGGCCTTGAACTCACTATGTAATCCAGGCTGGCCTTGAACTTGGAGCAATCTTCCTGCTTCAGCCTCCTGAGTGTTGGAATAACAGGGATGTGCCACCACATCCAGCTTGTGCTGGGTTTTTAAAGTAGTACAATTATCATCAAGGTTCATCCATGTTGCACCATGTATTAGTACATTAATTTTTATGGCTACGTAATACCCAACTATATGAATATACCAGATTTGCTTATTCACTCATCAATTGGTGAACATTTGGGTTATTTCCATTTGTGGCTATTATGAATGTTTCCATAAACACTTGCATTTAAGTTTTTGTGTGGTATGTTTTCAATTCTCTTGAGTGTATATATGTAGGAATAGAAATGCTCAGAGAATTCCTCTATTTTTAAGACATCTTTAAGGAGATTTTTTTTCTTGAAACAGGATCTATGTAGTTTATTATTTTTTTGGTACCGGGGATTGAACTCTGGTCCTTGCACTTTCAGGGCAGGCAGCGGCACCACTGTCTCTATGTAGTTTAAAGTAACTTTGATCTCACAGTGTCACCCAAGCTGGTCTCATATATGTAGTGATTCTCCTGCCTCAGCCTCCAGAATGCTGGGATTACAAATGTGTACCCACCACATCCAGCTTGAGAATTTGACATTTACATGAAAACTTAATAAATGTTTGGTTTATAATAAAATCCAGGGTATAAATGATGCCTGGAGCTTTAGTAAACCTATTTTGTGTTTAGTGTTACTAAAATATCTAAATGATTTAGCTCATCCTTTTGCCTTTCAGACTGAAGTCAATCAACTTATATCATTTACCTTGTCCTTTTTCAAGAAAAATGATTTTGGATTCGGGAAGAAAATTAGACCCAGTCACAATCATTTCATGGCCTCCATTTACAGGACAGCTGCTGATACTGTACTTCTCAATATGGGGAAGTTCTTGAGCAGACCGCTGGGCTGTGTTTTTTAAGAGTTGAGAAAAAGATGTTAGTTTAAAATATTTCATACATAAAAAAACTCAGGCTATAAAATAAAAATACAAGCAGATTTTGAGATTAATTTCAAAATTCAAGACAATGATAACAATTCTTACTAAAAGAACAAAGCAGTCTAGAAAACAAGATAGCTATATTAAATTAATGTAATCTTAAAATTATTTCTTAGACTATAACTGTAAAGAAATTAGAAATTAATGTCTTCAACTTTATATTAATTCCTACACATTTACCTCATTTTTCTTCTTTTTAGCTTAAATCTTTTTTTCCCCTGTGGTGGGAGGTTGAACCCAGTGCTTTGTGCATGCTAGGCAAGTACTCTACCACTAAACTACATATTTACCCATCTTTAATATATTTTCCCATGCAACCATCTATTAAAATTTATAAATTTAATTATAAAATCATATAAGGTCAAATATATATAATTATATTATGTATAATTAAGAGAAGACAAGCCGGGTGTGGTGGCTCATACCTATAATCCCAGCACTTGGGAGGCTGAACAGGAGGACTGCTGCAAATTTGAGGTCAGCTTGGGCTACATAGTAAGTTCAAGGGCAACCTGAGCTATGTAGTGAGACCTTGTTTCCAAAAACCAAAAAAAAAAAAAAAGAGAGAGAGAGAAAAAAAGAGAGGACAAGTATCTAAAAAATTACTACAGTGATGCCACGCCTCCCTGGCAAGGTGAAGGTCCTGAGTTCAATCCCAGTATCCGCCCCCCCCAAAAAAAATAATTGCTACAGGCAAAAAAGTGACGCTTGGCAATCAGGAAAATATTAAGAACATTATTGCAACATCTGTCTTCCAGTTTGGACAATTTTCTGAATAACTGAAACATAAAATACTAAATTTTAAGAGATGACTAAATATTTCTCTTTTTTAATATATTTATTTTTTATAGTACTGGGGATCAAACTCAAGACCTTGTGCTTGCGAGGCAGGCGCAGCACCACTGAGCTAAGCCCCTGGCCCCCTAAATGTTTCTTTAGTGACCAAGCATTCTGAACCCTCACAAGGCACATAGAATATAATCTATTTTTCTTAGTGCACAGTCATTATTTAAACTATCAATTTTTATAACGTATTTTTCGTGCCATCCCTTTCTCTGACATTAACTCGTGGTTCTAAGCTGCTACTGTAGAGATTCTACTTCTGGCTTTTCTTCTTTTTCTTTTATTTAATGTTTTTTATTTTGAGATAAGGTCTCATTATACAGTTCAGGCTATCCTTGAACTCACTATGCAGCCCAGAGTGGCCTTGAACTTGTGGTAATTCTCCTGCCTCAGCCTCTTGAACTGGGATTACAGGTGTGCACCACCACACTTGCCCTTCTTTTCTTTCTTTTTTGAATTCCCTGGGGTTCAAGCTGTTGTTTTTTGATATAGGGTCTTGCTCTAAATAATTCAGGCTGGCCTTGCACTCACTACGTCTCCCAGGCTGGTCTCAAACTCATGGCAAATGAGTGCTGGGATTCTAGGCATGCACCACCATCCCTGGCACTAAAATTAAAGCTTCTGCACGGCAAAGGAAACAACCAACAGAGTAAAGAGACAACCTACAAAACAGAAACACATTTTTGTTAGCTTTTATGTACAGAGGACTAATATCTAGAATATAAAGAACCAGAAGAAAGAATAGACCCCCAAAATAAAAGACCCAATTAAAAAAACCGGCAAGTGAAATGAATAGACATTTCACAGAAGTACAAATTGGCCAATAAACACATGAAAAACATGTTCAACATTAGAGAAATGCAAATTAAAACACTAAGATTTCATCTTACCCCAGACAGAATGGCCCATCATCAAGAAATCAAATAATGAGCCAGGGATTTAGCTCAGTGGCCACTGCGCCTGTCTCACAAGCACAAGGTCCTGAGTTCCATCCCTGGTACCAGAAAAAAAAACCCCAAAATCCCCCAAGAAATCAAACAATAACAACAGCTGGAAGGCTTTGGGGGAAAAAGAACCCTTCTACACTGTTGGTGCAAATGTAAATCAGTACAACCACTATAGAAATCAGTTTAGAGATTCCTTAAAAAACTAAAACTAGAAATTCCATTTGACCTAGTTATTTCCCTTCTAGACATCATCCCTAAAGAGATAAAGGCAAAAAAAAAAAAAAAAAGTTAAAGGCATATTACAGTGATACATGCATACCCATGTTTATAGCAGCACAATTCATAACAGCTCGACCTTGGAAGCAGCCTTATATGTACATCAACAGATGAAGGGATAAAGAAAATATGGTATTTACACACAATGGGAGTACTATCCTGCCATAAAGATAAATTTGAGTCATTTGTAGGAAAATGGATGCACCTTGAGACCATAATGTTAAGTAAAATAAGTCAGACATAAAAGCTTAAATAACATGTGGTTTCACTTTTGAGAAACACAAAAAAAGTATAAATAAAGAGCAAAATAAAAGACAGATAATGAGAAGAAGGAAGAAGGAAGACAGATCTTTCTCAAATGGAAAGGGGATTGGCAGATGGAGGGAGGGGACCGAAAGGGGACAAAAAAAAGGAATTAAGATGTGTTATATACACGCACCAAATCTACACAGGAATGTAAACATTATGTACTGCAAACATTATTGAACAAAAAGGTTAATAGTGACTATCTCTGAAGGATACAAATTAACTCTATTTGTATTATAATACATTTTTTATATTTGCAATAAGATATTAATTTGTCATGAACAAAAAAATTAAAATCAATTGGGCATGGTGGTACTTATTTCTAATCCCAGCTACTTGAGAGGATGAGATAGGAAGATTACAAGTTTAACATGGAAACTGCTATTCTGAAATGTGATTGGAGGCATCTATTAACCATTACCAGAAGGAACTGCAGATAATCCCTGTTTACAGGAAAATGCTGCTAGTAGGCGTAGGGATGAGCAGCTGAATAGAAATTCTGTTTCTGGCTGTCTCATTGGTTTTGTTTTAAAATTAACAAAACAGGGGCCGGGGATTTAGCTCAGTGGTTCTGCCCCCTGCCTTGCAAATACAAGGTCCTGAGTTCGAGCCCTGGTACCAAAAAAAAAAAATTTTAACAGAACAAAAAAACAAATTTGGGGCCAGGTGGGCAACTCAGTGAGACCTTCCTTGTCTTTTTTTTTTTTTTTGAGACAAGGTCTTGCTATGTAATTCAGGCTGGCCTTGAACTCATTATGTAGACTAGGCTGGCCTCAAACTCATGGGGATACTCTTGCCTCAATCTCCCAAGTGCGGGGATTACAGGCATGCGCTACCACACCCAGACCTTCCTTGTATTAAAATAAAAAATAAGAGTCTAGGGGCCGGAGATTTGGCTCAGTGCTTCCACCACCTGCCTCGAAAGCGCAAGGTCCTGAGTTCGATCCCGGGTACCAAAAAA